ACGTCGCCAGGTGTTTCATCAGATTCGAGGTGTTACCTCCTTTGCACAGTATCACCTTAAAGCACTTGTTGCAGGCTGCTGAGTTTGCATCTTTTGCTGTGAAGTACAGCCAGACTTTTGACCGCTTCGCCTTGGGCATTTTTAATCTGTAGCTCTGCTCTAAAAGAACGTACGTACCTGGGCCCGCCTACTACGCTTGCAAAGGTAAAATGATTGGCTAGAATCCAAAGTGTATGACATCTCAGGAAAAAAAAGCACCGAAATAAAGCACCGAAATGTGCGCTGCTTTTCAGTCTGGTTACTACCGTTTATGTCAGAACCGGTACTCATCACTATTCTTGAATGCGTTCACATGCCTCGTCAATAAAACTAATATTGATTCGCGCCATGTTAGTAGACGTCTTTAGATACTGCACGTATGTTGGTGCAAAAAAACTACAATTACTAAAACAAATTCTTAACACACATTTAAAGCACTGTTGCAAGATTGTTTCATCAATTCTTAGTCAGCCAAATCTAGAATTGGAAAACATTCTCGATTTCTGTTCCTCAGTAGATTTTCCTTTTCTCATAACATTGTCATATCCCAGTGCTAGCCTTATTCTTGTGTCATTGTTATTGTATGGGTTCTTTAGTAATGGATGTAAAAAAAAAAAAAAAGTGGGAAAAGTAACAAAGACATTGACCTTTGATCACCAACGTGCAATCAGTCTATCCTTGAATCAAAGTAGCAAAATTTCCATCCATCCATCATTACCTTTGGAAAGGGAGAAGCAGGAGGAATCAGAAGTTTATGCAGCAGAAGAGTGCAGAAAGTTGGGGAGTTGGTGACCAAAATAGAGAGAAAAAGGGAAGGGAGTCAGGTAAGGATAAGAAATAGATGAGATGCAGTGATGCTATGGATGTCTTAGCTAGGAGACTATTAGCATTCACACCCTGATGCTGACTGGACAGAGGTCAGTATCCATCCACCATCATATGAGGGGACTGTGGTGAGAGCTGGGGTGAGAGCTGTTAGTCAACTGAAGGAGACACTCAATAAAGAAATGAAGAAGTTGTTTGAAGCTGAGTTGAAGAGGGTCCAGCAGTATGCAGTGGATGTGACTCTTGATCCTGATACAGCACATCCTAAACTCATCCTGTCTGATGATGGGAAACAAGTACACTGTGGTGAAGAGGAGAATGATCTTCCAGACAACCCAGAGAGATTTTCTGAATTTCTCATTGTTTTAGGAAAGCAGAGTTTGTCATCAGGCAGATTTTACTTTGAAGTTCAAGTAAAATACAAGACCAAATTGATGTTAGGAGTGGTCACAGAGTCAGTCAACAGGAAGGAAAAATTCACGGTTGAACTGAACCGAACGAAAGGTTACTGGATTGTAGGAGTATATAAAAATAATTATATAGCTCTGGAGGGTCTTCCAGTCTGTCTCTCCCTTCAGTCAGATCCTGAGAAGGTGGGGGTGTTTGTGGATTATGAAGAGGGTCTGGTCTCCTTTCATGATGTAGATGATGCAGCTCTTATCTACTCCTTTACTGGCTGCTCCTTCACCGGGAAACTCTACCCATTCTTCTGTCCCTGGAATGTTGATGATGATGGTAAAAACTCTGCACCTCTGATCATCTGTCCTGTGATGATAGGTGATGGTGATGGTGATGAGGATGATGATGATGATGACCATGATAATTGATCATCACCTGTTCTGTCAATCAGTCAATCAGATATTGGAGTGCAAAACTAACACCAATGGAAGATGGACAAGGAAAGGTCAAAGCCATGATAATAAACAGTGGGCAGACAGTGTTCAGCACAATATTAATTAGACATTAATTGGAAGAGGTGTATTGCTGATTTGTCTCCTTTACGAATTATAATGGCTGTTTGTTAGCCGTTTGCATACTATGCATACTCTCTTTCTGTGTGTGTGTGTTTGTTTATCTGTTTAAATTCAGTATAGTTCCGACAACAGTTATCACAATAAAATATGTTAATGCGCAATCCTTAATATGTTTTATACAGTGGGGCAAAAAAGTATTTAGTCAGCCACCGATTGTGCAAGTTCCCCCACCTAAAATGATGACAGAGGTCAGTAATTTGCACCAGAGGTACACTTCAACTGTGAGAGACAGAATGTGAAAAAAAAAATCCATGAATCCACATGGTAGGATTTGTAAAGAATTTATTCGTAAATCAGGGTGGAAAATAAGTATTTGGTCAATAACAAAAATACAACTCAATACTTTGTAACATAACCTTTGTTGGCAATAACAGAGGTCAAACGTTTACTATAGGTCTTTACCAGGTTTGCACACACAGTAGCTGGTATTTTGGCCCATTCCTCCATGCAGATCTTCTCGAGAGCAGTGATGTTTTGGGGCTGTCGCCGAGCAACACGGACTTTCAACTCCCGCCACAGATTTTCTATGGGGTTGAGGTCTGGAGACTGGCTAGGCCACTCCAGGACTTTCAAATGCTTCTTACGGAGCCACTCCTTTGTTGCCCGGGCGGTGTGTTTTGGATCATTGTCATGTTGGAAGACCCAGCCTCGTTTCATCTTCAAAGTTCTCACTGATGGAAGGAGGTTTTGGCTCAAAATCTCACGATACATGGCCCCATTCATTCTGTCCTTAACACGGATCAGTCGTCCTGTCCCCTTGGCAGAAAAACAGCCCCATAGCATGATGTTTCCACCCCCATGCTTCACAGTAGGTATGGTGTTCTTGGGATGCAACTCAGTATTCTTCTTCCTCCAAACACGACGAGTTGAGTTTATACCAAAAAGTTCTACTTTGGTTTCATCTGACCACATGACATTCTCCCAATCCTCTGCTGTATCATCCATGTGCTCTCTGGCAAACTTCAGACGGGCCTGGACATGCACTGGCTTCAGCAGCGGAACACGTCTGGCACTGCGGGATTTGATTCCCTGCCGTTGTAGTGTGTTACTGATGGTGAGCTTTGTTACTTTGGTCCCAGCTCTCTGCAGGTCATTCACCAGGTCCCCCCGTGTGGTTCTGGGATCTTTGCTCACCGTTCTCATGATCATTTTGACCCCACGGGATGAGATCTTGCGTGGAGCCCCAGATCGAGGGAGATTATCAGTGGTCTTGTATGTCTTCCATTTTCTGATGATTGCTCCCACAGTTGATTTTTTCACACCAAGCTGCTTGCCTATTGTAGATTCACTCTTCCCAGTCTGGTGCAGGTCTACAATACTTTTCCTGGTGTCCTTCGAAAGCTCTTTGGTCTTGGCCATGGCGGAGTTTGGAGTCTGACTGTTTGAGGCTGTGGACAGGTGTCTTTTATACAGATGATGAGTTCAAACAGGTGCCATTCATACAGGTAACGAGTGGGGGACAGAAAAGCTTCTTACAGAAGACGTTACAGGTCTGTGAGAGCCAGAGATTTTCCTTGTTTGAGGTGACCAAATACTTATTTTCCACCCTAATTTACGAATAAATTCTTTACAAATCCTACCATGTGAATTCATGGATTTTTTTTTCACATTCTGTCTCTCACAGTTGAAGTGTACCTCTGGTGCAAATTACTGACCTCTGTCATCATTTTAGGTGGGGGAACTTGCACAATCGGTGGCTGACTAAATACTTTTTTGCCACTGTACTGTGTGTGTGGGTGTGTGTGTGGGTGTGTGTGTGTGTGTGTGTGTGGTGTGTGTGTGTGTGTGTGGTGTGTGCGTGTGTGTGTCGTGTGTGTGAGGGGGGAGGTGGGGGTGGGGGACGCACCAGAGGGAGTGTTCATCCAGGGCACCAAACAGGCTAGGACCGTCCCTGTGTGGAAGCATATTAATGTCAAAAGTCACGCCACAAAAACATAATCATGAGTAAATAACTTCATGTCACCACATTTTCAGATTATCTGGCATTTTAGAATAATTGGTGTTGGTCAAACAGATATGCTTTTCAGGAGCCGCAGACAAACCAGGAAACAAACACTGGATATATCTGTGACATTTGTGTGGTTCAAATACAGTCTGTCAGTTTAGGTTATCGAGAATCTTGCTGTCTTCATCATTATTCTTCTAAAATTTTATTACTCTGATCTGATTTCAGCATTGTTGCCTGCGGACTAAAGCATGGACTTTACAGTGTCTGCACTCAAAATGAGTCCAGTCCACTAGTGCCGCCTGTGGCCATGTGTCATAGCCTACAAGCAGAGTAACTTGTGACACATCTGCACCTGGCTCTGTCAGCACATTGAGTGGAGGCTGAGTGGCTGCACTCACACCTGAAGCATTCAAATCAACCCACAAACATTTTTAAATATTCAATGCCAGTACATTGAATTATCAAGACTAAAATCAGTCATTAAGCATGAATCATTTATTTCTGTTTATTTAAAATGTGTCATAGTTAATCGCCTTCTGCAATCCGGTCTTTAAGTGATGACGTGATGAATCCTGCTTCTGGGCCCAAAGTAGTCTGCATTTAATAAGGCTGTAGTGTTTTTAACATGTTTTAATGCTTTTTATCTAGTTCTATTTAATCTCAACAAGCCCCTAAAAACAGCCAGTGGTCACTCTCAGCTTCTCTCGGTTTTTATTACCGCTAATCACTTTAAAGCTCAGTTTTTAAATCCTTACGATGTAACTACAGCCCAGCCCATGCAGCAGTATATTAATAACTAACCTCATATTGTGGATGGATTATCTCGGTGGTTCTTCTGACTGATGATTGGTCCGTTTACAGCATCCTGCCATGCGATTGCATTTGCCCCTAACCATTGGGAACCCTCACATAAACTTTTATCGAGTGGAAAAAAGTCCTCCGTTTGTTAGCGTTCGTCCTCCAGCTTTACTGTTTATGTTATGCTAACATAGCTTTGTCGCGCTAGCGATCACTTAGCACATAATATACCAGCTAGCCCAACTTCAGTAACCCTACAAACGTCACTGCTGTTTACTTTCCTGTCTTCATTTATGTTGGAAGTGATAGCAGAGCTGTATGTCTTAATTTGTTTCTTAAATCCCTCATTCTGAACATGGTATATTATATTTAGAGGGAAGCAAGCGAGCTAACTCCCTGCTAATTTCTAACTCGGTTAAATGTCATAAATTCTATTTTCATGGATGCCTGGATGTTAAATTTAATTGTTACACCTGGTAGAGCAGCCACAGTGATCATTTTATTACAGATGAAAGAATTTAGATGGTTTTTCAACTCTCAGTAATGCTGAAGTGATCATTTGACTTAGGGACCTGCAGCAGAGTTTGGGCCCAGACATGGCTAATAACGTCAGAATTAAAGACCGGATAGGGAAGTCCATGCACACTGTGTGGGTCTTTCCACAGCAGATGCATTCAATCTGAAGAGAGAAACATTTAATGTTGTCAGTCATTCATTTAAAGTCAGTTTGTTGAATGAAGCAACTAAAGATGTGTAAATGTGCAGTTACTTCAGAATTCTGTGCTTCAGTCTTAGGTCTGGATTTCATTATCTTACCCACTCATCAGTTTCTGCACCAGAGCTTCTCTCAACACAGCAGAGCTGGTAAAGATGATCTGAAAATATATGCAACAGTGAGGATATGCATATAAATATTTTAAATTAATATTGAGAGAGCTGTTTCTGAAGCATACCTGAGAGAGCACATGTCCAGTCTTAGCCTGGCAATCCCCTCTTGGTCAACAGGAAACTATTGTTGTATGTGATAGGATCTGAGCATTTCATGTTAATTAAAGTCTGTGCTTATTCAAGTGCAATACATTATGACCATTATAGCTACCTTGCATACAAAGACACCGCAGGATGTAACATCCTGCTCTTCGAGATGGGCAACAGTTGAGTATTTCAATTTTCCAAGGGTTGGAATTTTCCTCCTAACCAGAGCTCTGTACAGAAACAGATACTACAGTTTTTGAACTTAACTCAATGCAAGAGCCAAGTCACCTTGTACCTTTAATCTTGCCCTTTTTATTTTATTTGCAACAGGGCCTTTATCTGTTTTAGATACAAAGTCTTCAAAAAGTGAAAACTATTAAACCCAGGAATTTAATTTACAGGTTTCATGGTTGTGTCAAGATTGCTGTGATGGACTTAGTTGAAAAGCAGGATCAGTCCCAGGAATTATTATGAAAAGAGGGGTTTCCTTTATTTAATCCTAAAAATTACATTCACCAAAATAATAAATGTCAATCTAAAAAAAGAGGTCAAAGAAACCAGACTGAATTCAGGCAAACAAAATGAGGACTCCACATCCCAAATGACTGCCCAAACAAACTAAACTGACCTAACCAGGGAGATAAGGTTATATAAAATTTAAACAGTAAAAAAGAAAAAAAAACACCTCTAAACTTGAATCAAATGGTGAGTCCCAGATTTAAGCCCTGTGGGAGTATCCCCCCAAGAGGACCCCCTAATGACAGAATACAGTTACTCATATTTTGTATTTTAAATACATAACACCGGTACATGTATTCCATTACTCCCCAACACTGGCTCAGTTCAGACATTAAGCTCAGCAGAAAGTCAGCAGCAGCAGCTCAGAGCAACAAGCTGCCAAACCAGGAGAAGTTCCCTGTGACATCTGCACTGCAACCAAACTGAAGGCCCTGAAGTCCTGCTTGGTGTGTCTTGCCTCCTACTGTCAGACTCACCTGCAGCCTCACCTGGCTGCTTCAAGTCTAAAACAACATCAGCTGATTCTGATCCTGAGGAGAACCTGAAAAACAAGACCGATCAGACATGTGTCTGCATGCTCTGCTTTGTTGTTGACCACAAGACTCATGAGTTTCTTCCTCTGAGAGAAGAATATGAAGGACCGAAGTCAGAACTGGTCAAGACTGAGGCTGAAATTCAACAGATGATCCAGAAGACATGGCTGAAGATTCAGGAGATCAAAGACTCAGTGAAGATGAGTAAAGATGCTGCAGACAGAGAGAAAGCAGAAGGTGTTCGGGTCTTCACTGCTCTGAAGGAGTCTGTTGCCAGATGCCTGAATGAACTGATAAAGGAGATAGAAGACAAACAGGAAACAACAGACAAACAGGCTGAAGGTTTCATCACAGATCTGGAACAAGAAATCTCTGAGCTGATGAAGA